GATAGAGAGTTGTCGAAGTTGGCAGCGGCAAACATGGTGAATTCGTCAGCAAAATTTGAAAGATTAGATAGTGAGCAACTTGGAGAAATGTACATGTTAGTAACAAAGATATGTCTATATTTGGGGAGATGTTTGGGACGACATGTGACGGTAATACAGTCTATGAAGTCATTTGAGAATGAGAAGCAAACATTATTAGAAATAAACCACTTGGAGTGAATAAAAGTTGCGAAACCGCCCCCATTTTTTTATTACGACATTGTCGGTCTTGTCTAAATAGGATGAAGTCCTTTAGTGAGATACGATTGTCGTCATACAAATCATGTAACCATGTTTCTTGTAATGTGATTACCGCAGTATTATGATAAGTGTCAGTGGACATCAAGGAGTGTACGTACATTATCTTGTTAGGAAGAGAGCGGCAGTTAGTGTTCATGATGACAGGGACCGTAGTTAAGTGTATTGGTGTACGTTTAAGAGCTCCCTGCCAACCACTACGATGCTTCCTCCTTGATTTCTTGGGAATAAGAAACTCGTTGGGTCGTAAAGTATTTATAATGTAACGAGAGTAAATGATCCTGTTTGAATTCATATTTGGGTGATAAATAAACAGGAGTAAACAATATATGGACGCAATATGTAAATATTGTGATAGCAGGCCCAAAAGCACGAACAGGTCGATTGGAGAAATGCCCCTCATCGAGATTATAGTCAGCCAACTGAAACCACAATGGTGTTCAGAAGTACCTGCAACAGACAGCATCTACAGATAAGCCGATTCCTTCGTCCACTCTGCCAAACATAACTGCACATTGAAACAACATCATTCTCAGTACACGTCGGTTAACATACTCTAATCACATGATACACAAACACACACACACACACCCGTCACTCCTTACTCATACAAAGCATCAAGTTGAATGAACATCTTGTTGATCTCTACACATACCTGTAGGCAGTGATGGTCAGTGACCTTCAATAAATAAACTAATCATGCCTCTGTATTGACAGTGTGGCGTGATCACATTCCACACTGTGATAAACAATTTCAATAGTCAATAAACTGGAATCTCCTTTCATCTCATCGTCTTAATTAATTATTTAATTAATTAATTAATTATCAGTCTGCTGACAAGAGATTTTATAAATAGCAACGTGAATTTATCATAAGAATGACCTGAAAGAAAGCGGAAGTATGTTAATGAATCACATGATAATGTGGTGATTAGAAGAAATAAGAGAAGGAGTAATGTCATTCTGTGTACACAAGTATGACAAATGAGTATGATAGCCGGATCATTGAGATGCTTGCATTGTGATAGCAGAGCACAGAGATATTTGGCATACTGACATAATGCGAGGACAGATTGTGAGAAGCCTACATTGAAAGTCCAGTTGTTGTAGTTTAGTCATATTCTGCTATCTCCGTCCATGCTTTATCTTCAGTACATTCCCTCTTAATTATCTAGATCGTTTTGTCTTCAAGACAAAATTGGTCGCTACGCTTTTTGAGTTTCCTTCTGAAGATGACACCAATATTCTACTCACACATTCGTGTCAGCAGCACGAAATCCACTCTTGCGTGCACAAGCGAATATTTTCTTGTTTGTCATTTTGCGATAATAATATAAGATATCATCATATACTGTGACGACTGATTGCTTCTCGTTGACATCTTCCAAAACATTCATCTTGTTCTCTCAGTCTAGCGGACAGAAGCGAAACACAGAATCACCTGAATTCTAACTTTTTATACTGCGTCATATATTTTCACGACTAACAGATACCTTGGGTATTTTCATTCTTTCAGCATACGCTAGGGACATTCAGCAGAAAAAAGAAATCATTCGTCAGCAAATCCTGAAATCGCACCATGTAATCTGATTCTTACCATAATTGTTGATCAAGTGCACTTGTGTCAAATTACACCCTATCGATTGATCGAGATGAATAGTTGTGTGTCACTCAGATCGACCATTAGTGGTTTCCAGACACTTTGTCCAACATTTCACTCTTCGAGATAAAATACTGCATGTCTATAAATGTCGACACGACTGAATGTGATTTAAGTAGCCTCCACAAACTAGAACTCCATGAACACACATTTTCGCCATTGATGAACGTCAACAGTAATGGGATTCACAACTGGTTCGATTTAGTGATTGATGTTGCAATTCCGAATCTTCTTCTTCACACTGGAGGAAGAAGATATTCAAAGTGATTTCACAATGATGATGGTGTAATTTGCCTTCCCGATTCTGACTTCTACATCTTCATCCCTACTATCGCGTGTAGTTGAAACGATGCTGCCTGGTCAGATAAGTGAATGAAGCAACCTCTCTCAAATTTCTCCTGTTGATTGTGATTGGTCCAGTTTGTTGTTGTTTGTTTGTTGATTATGTCGATGACCTATGTCTTCTTTAGTTCACTTGAAGTTCCATATTGGTCACGTCTTTTGGCAGCATGTCGCTTTCACCCTGTATTTCACCGAATTTGTTTGCACTTTACATTTATCTTCCAAGTCGTCAAGGTCTTATTGTGTCTTCTTATCCGTCCAACATATTCCTGTCTTCTCGCCCTCCACATATGGTGTTCCGCATAATCTAGTCCACCGTAATCAGGAATATCATCAGTGATAGTAATCGGCCTTGTCTAGCTGCTATCTTCTCTGTAATTCCCTGACTGAGACTGCCATCGTGAATCATTTGACCTATGGCGTTGTCACTCAGGTGCTGAAAGAGTTTGAGAATGATTTGTGGCACTGCACTCCATAATGTTTAATTTGTTTCGAATGACACCTTTTTCGGTTGTTTGACTGGTTAGCCTTCCTAACAATCTGACCGAATCTTTCCTTCTTTCCGAACTCTTTTTATTCGTTTAGTCAGCGTGTTTTCTGCAGTCTATATGTCACTTTCCGACGCTTCTGGAGCACATTCTTGAGGTCCAGTTACATTCTAGCTTGAATTTCAGTAGCTTCATTGCGTTCAGTATTTCTGCTTTAAGAGGTGGATTGGTGCCTTTTCGTTATTCTGTGCCAGCTGCAGATAGTATTTCTCGACGTTTTTGAGGTGATAGTCTATTTCGAATCATTTGAAGTGATCAGTTCATTGTTTCATTTTGTGTCTCCTCTTTGATAGGCAGCTTCCCTTGATCAACATTTATAAGTTGCATATACGCTGATCTCTTCCAGGACAGGCAACTGATTATCTGATGTAGTTGTCTGAGGTCTCGTTCTCCCGCACTCTAACTCTTCTGCCTCAGTTGACAGTGTTTTGCATTGTCTCTCTTTGTTACACCTTGCTTTCACAGTATTTTGGAAAGATTATGGAATTTTCTTCTCTGCTAACACTCTTCTTGGTCTCTTTATTCAGTGAGATGTACATAGAACTCGACTCCTCCCCCCACTATCGATGTTTGCATTGTTTCATCTTCTTTTTCACCATCACAATCTCATCTATTAGATTCCAAGTGTCCGTTGAGAGTCATTGTTTTTCTTCCCTCTCCCTTCTTCCTAGTATGGTTGTACACATTTCTTTGAATATCGCTTTCAGAGAACTCGAGTACTCCCCACTCAGTTTCCCTCATTGATGCAATATAATATCTCTGACTTTGCACTGATATTTCCAGTGAAGATGCATATTTTAGTTTTACCTCCCAGCTCTTGGGTATTAAACTTGAATGGTGGTCTATCTCCAGATCCTTTCAGTGTTTTCAGCTTCACCTTGAAGTTTGCGTGGACGAGATGACGGTTTGAGCCAGCATCTACTCCCTCTCCCGACTATGTGCTCAGCAGGCCGCGTCTCTATTTTCTTTGAATGACACTGAGATGAAGTCTATCTGGTTTGTGGTGTGTCCGTCAGGTGAAATCCATATTGCCTCGGGTATATCCTTATGTTTGTACATTCAGCCTCCTATCGCTAAATCACTGAATGCACAGAATAGCGAGAAGTGCTCTTCGTTCTGATTCATTCCGCTGAGAGCCTCTCGACCCATGAATAATTCACTTCCTATATCGCTTTCGCCCAGTGCAGATGGCATTCATATAGCCCTTTAGGATTTCAATGACAACATGTTGTATCTTGTCCATTATCGTTTGTAGTTGTCTACATAAATCTTCCTTTCTGTCTTCCTCCGCCTTCTTTGAGGTGCATTGCATTGGATGACTGTAACCTCCCTTCATTTTCACTTGAATTGTCCTACCATTATCCCAGATGAGATTGGTTCTCAAAGCATTAGAGCTTTGGTTGCCACTGGTGACAACATAATAGTCACTCACTGCTTCCGTATGCTCATGGTTTCGTCTGGCTGACAGGAGTAGATTATTGTTTCTCCAGTTGACAATTCACACAGTTCATATCCATTCCACCTGCTCTCACAAACTCCTAGCACGTCCATGCTTTATCTTCTCATTTCTCTGGCTACCCGGCCAGTCTTATCAGCCTCATACAATGTGTGAACATTCCAATTTCCGATGTGTACTTTTGCTTTCATCAAAAGAATATACATCGGCTGATTGGATTCGCGAAGGCTTTCACCAGACCATATCATTTCGCCTCTCTGATCCCAGGGAAGAATAAGTTGTTGTTTTCTTATATTTTTCGTGCGCTTTGAAGTTCTGATGGCTGCTAAATTGATCCTTCGGTGTGTGTCCACTAGCCGACTCAATACCACAACCTTCCAGCTTTTCACCGGCTTAGGATTGATTGGGAAGCTACAGAACTAGCAAAGTAGGTGGTGTTATCTATTTTGTGGACATACTGTGAATAGAAAAAACAGTGCCGAACATTTAAACAACACAGTAATAGAAAACGTTCACCACAATAGATTCTCATACAATTATCTGAACCTGTCAATCCTCAGGCACCTACTGCGGACGCAGACTATGATTCACTATAGTGTCAAGTAAATATAGCATCACATATGAATTGATTTTCGGTGAGTCAAATAATATCACAAATATACACTACGTTCAGCATATATTCACAGTGTGGAAAGTACTCATAGATTCGCTCTACATAATCCTGATTTATGTCACTCCATGATGAAACTGCACTGTGAGAACACACCATGAAGACAGAAGGGATTATCTGTTTGACACAGAGTTACAGTAGACAGGAGATTTCCACCTCCTGAATTTCTGTAACGACTGGTGCCTATTTGGATTAAGTTGGTAAACCATTCCTCACATTCTCAAGATGCCTTCACTCTCACCCTCTGTCGACGAACGGTTGAAAATCATAAATCCAGGTCTATTGAGATGTTGGTTAGATAAATCACACAGAAAGAAACGACAAAACAATTCTCTTCTTACACTAAATATCATTTGGCCAATTTTCTGAAACAGAATGATAAACAAAATCATCTTGACCGCATATTTTCACATCACTTCAACTCATCTCACATTCCATTGAAATGTATTTTCCATATGCCAAATTAATTTGTAAAACACCAATTGTATTTGAGAGACTTCAGATGAATCAGGTATAAATAGACTGGCTATTCACAAAGACAATTCATCGTTTTAAGCAGACGGGTAGACCACATCTGAGAACAGGTAAGTCCACGACGTTTTCAATATTCTTTGCTCTCATCATGATGCATTATTCTGTGAGTGAACAACACGACACTGATATTCAATCATAGAATGTCTTCTCATTTGAGGAAGGAGACTTGTCCCTCACTGTATTCTGCTAGATGGTCAGAGATAGTCGGTGAGATGCATGTGTGGTTGTTTCACTGTCAAGTGGTGTTGACAATTAGAATACACACTGTTGAAATGTGATATTTCCTATTACGTTCATTCACAATAGGCTCACAGATCAATGAATGTAAGCGCAGTCAATTCAACATGGACATGATGTGAGATATGCACTCAACTCAAAACATCCATTGAAAGCACACACAACAGACTCGAACAATTGATGAAATGCTCGATAATGTGCCATACTGAAACATTGACTGTGTACAAGTCTGTCTGTTGTAGTAGCAGAGGTGAAGGAGATTCCACACTTTTGCAATACATCCACTTGCACATGAATCCATTCACATGCACACATGAATAGCTATGCAACATGAATTCATCAAGGAGTCGCAACAGTCTGTACGGGAAATATTTTTCTTAATGATTTTATTCTCATTACGATATCCAATGGTGACTGCTTATTTTTCTCTCAGATTTGAACGTCTACATCATGCAGTGAGTTACCATGATCAATGTTATTTCTCGTATTCATAAATGAGGCATGCACCATCTCCTTGTATGTCACTGCACACGCAGAGTTATTGTTTCGTTTGTATTCCGAGCACTGCGTCAAGCATGGAATGCTCGAAACTCACCATGAATCACTCACTCTAGTCATAATGTGCATGTCTCTCTCATTCTCTTCCTTTCCCTACAGACTCGTCATTCTCAGTCTTCTCGTGTGTATCCACACATTACTCGCTGAATCCAATGCCAACAAGACATACATGCTTCATTTACGTTGGCTTCCAACACACTGTCTCTACAGATATGTACGTTTACTCATGCACATAATTTTGTGGTGACCATGTTGATTGTTATTATTATTATCATTTCATCATTTCGATTCATCGACTATCCAACCTCACGTGGACGTGTCATCCGAGTGTCTGTTAGCGTCAGAGACATCACAAAACCAACCTGTTCAGTCACTTGATATCCCTTTGCATTCATACACATGCGCGGTCACACGCTTTCGTGTCAGTGAGCTATCAGGCTCAATCGATGAATGTTAGTGCGACCATTCGTCGATAGGGGACGTTGTAGTTCTTCAGCCAACATCACACATACATGCATCTGAATTCAGATATAGTTTGATGTGGCGGGAACCTGCAATGTGCATGTATCACGTCCATTCCATTCAGCTGGTGAACTAGTAATACTCGTTGAATGCTACTTGATACACAACTTCTTCTTTGTAACCATAACCATATATCTGAAACATCAATCATCGTCAGTGAGTGAGGTGTATCATGAAAAATCAATATCGAACTACATAACCACACGCTGTACAATCATTACAAACACACACACATATCAGGTTGACGTCGACAGTATTAATCCGTAAAATTAATTTCAATCGACCAATAAAAATCTCAATTTCCTTTTCAGTGTACTGTCCCGAAGAAAACAACTATGGACATTTCGAGATTGAGGTGAGATTACTGTGTATTTGTCTTTTGTACATTGACACATTCTCCGACATCACCAGGGTGTGTTGCTCCCCTAAATACAATGAATGAGTTGTATGTATTCTCTTAAATGTATCAGTACTTCACTGAAGTGTGTGAACATGGATAGAGTTGAGAAGATAATCTTCGGCACTTATAAGATGAATCAGTTGACACCAGTCGACCTGTTTCATGATGATAATGCACATTTGATCTTTATCAATGTGCACAGTTGGTGATATCATTCAGACAGTCAGAGTTATGCAAGGCGAATCACTCCATCAAAAGAAGACAGATGAATGTGAGTGGATATGTGACTGGCTGCACTGCAATGATGCTTCTGAATGATTACGCAGTGATCTGAAAAGTGAGTAAACTATAACGAAGCTGGTATAACTGATTGAAGATGTTATAGCATGATATCATGTTATTCAGGTAGACACTTGTTCGAAGAACACTTTCACATATGCTCGCTTATTGATATGTGACTGTAGTGATGATTCTGTCCCGAGGATGATTTCAGTGTATAAATATTATTTGCTACATCTTTAGGGCTAATACTGAGTTATTTCACAATTTCAGAGCATCACCTCACTTCGACTGGAAGGAATCCGTATGTCCACGGCGTTTTAACATCTCCGAGCAGGATTTTGTGAGTGACAAATTTGACTTTTCATGCAGGTGTCTTCAAAATATTACTTCTTTGTACATAACAAGATTTCACTATGTCATTCACTCGCATAACTTGCACCAGTGACGGTACTTGTAAGAGAGCAGCTGGCATAGCACACATTGGGCATTATTTAACCATTCCACTTTAATTTTCTCTCGGCTTTTCTTTGCATCTTCAGAAGAAAATACCTGATCTGAATACTTATTGGTCTAATCCAACACTTGAACCTATTGCACAGTGAGTCACCTCTCAGTTTTGCTATTGTCTTTCACACAACTATGCATATCATGGACTTTCCCGTGTTTTCTCACCAATCAGATCGAAGGAATGCATGTTTTTGTGTTGGCAATTGTTCGCTTATAGTGAATTCATCGGAGGGATGAGTGATCGCCTTTTCGACACACCTACACTTCGACATCCCACTTCCGGAGAAGTGAAATCAGTTAGTGTGAAGATGTGTGGATGGCTGACAAAAGTGTCGATGAACACCATTGTTGTGTGCGTGTGTGTCAGCCTGTTTGCTTTTTGTTGTTTTTGTTGTTGATGGTGGTGTTGGTGACAATCTACCAGCGATATGATTTCTTGATACTGAAGGCGTTCTCGCGCATTCTGATTATTTCACTCACAAAAATTTCATATTTCAGCTTCTGGGTGTACTACAATTATGGAGCTTGTACAGTTGTGGATGAATCTGGATCCAATTTTATTCTCTACCTCAATCACAGCATTAATCTCTACAAAAAGCTCATGACACCAAAGTACGTCAACACATGTTTCTTTCTAAATGTGTCTATTAATATTATTATTACTGTTCGAGTTATGGTAATCATTTTATTGTGTGGATGGTGAAGCTGCATTCACGCCAGCTCACATCCATCTATCTTCCTTCATGACACAAAGTGTGCATCCTCACACTTATCTCACACTCAAAAATCACAGTGTCCAAACTCAGCTTCATTACCATGTGTACTGTATGTTGCACTCAGTTGTGGACTGATCTGACTAGGGACTGCACTGGACTGGACAAGACAAGTTGGTTTATGCTGATGAAGTAAGTGATCCGTGAGACACACGTGTTGAAGTTATAAACAGTATGGTAGTATCGGGATCAGGATAGATGAGTCGGTGTCTTGATTCAGATTCGATTCATCGACGGAACTACTGGATCGAGGAATGTATCAAGTAGTTTCTGTGTTGTCATTCTACATCGAGACAATAATGACGCACCAACACATTTCTTGATGTGATTTTTCACATTCGACCAATAACATGAATTTCCCTTCATTTTAGAAACGTGAAGAAACTCCATAGCATATTAGAGAAGAAGGTCCACTCGGTAAGTTGATATTCAATTTCTCCATCAGACAAATTCATTCTAATTAAGAGTAATCAACATTGAATAATCACACTAATTCACAATCAACATTCATCCACTCTATTCATGTAGACTGCAAAAATGGAAAAAAACCTGTTGAAAAAATTTGGTGTACAACCTAAGTTGATCTGTGCACGGAGTAAGGTGGGTTATGTCTTTTCTATGCACACATATTTTCAAATATTTCATCATGTCACTATAATTGCGATCTATTACATCTAGTGATAAATAACATATGCTGCGCAGATTGTTGAATGAGTGTGTTTCGATTGGATTCGCGAATCTCTTAATTTCGCCAACTACAACGAGAACTCACGTCAGTAGCTTCTAACAGCATTCAAAGTAATCAGGTCTTAACTGTCTTGAACTTCTCTGTTCGAAATTGAGAGATAAGTGAAGGTGTGTGTTGGAGACACATTTCGAGGGACGAATCATCGCTTTTTCAACTAACTTATTAACACAATTCTCTTTCTTATTCACCATTTCGCATTCTGTAGGTTGGGAGTGTTTATTTACACGAATTGGTATTCTGTTTCAATGAAGCGTCATCACTCGTCAACTGTCCACCAGAATACGCTAGCCATCTAGAGAAATTTAAACCTGATGACTATGTGGAAAACAAGAAAATACTAAGTCTGGAAATTGAGTCTCAAATCTTGTGTCCAGCCAAGTTCATCATTCCTGACTACAAAATACTTGGAGATGCCAAAGATGACACACATTCCAACCACTTCGATCGTGATGGGAAACATCATGGTGGCGATTATTATGATGAAGATGATGAGGATGAATTTGATGAAGATTATCAACATTTTGAGTAGTATTGAACTTTTGTTACTCTATCAATATGGGAATCATAATAAGGATGATAATGTCCCACTTTCTTTTCATTTGATGTACTCACTTCTTGCAATGTAGTTTCCAGCGAATAAAATATATCTTACTTTTCAATGGAGTTTTCTCACTGTCATCATCCGTCTCCGCATGGACATCGCGTCTACCTTTCTAACCCACAAATTGTTTATGTCATCAATGAATCTTGTTTTGCGGGAAACAGCATTTATTTTTATCCTTCACGTTCCCCAGTGGAACATAGGGCTTCAAGCTAGTGGCTTGAATTTTCTGTAGCAGTGTTTATTTTACAGGATGGGGTTGCTAGCCTCATGCCCAACCTTTCCTCTTCACCAGCATTATTTCTGGCTTAGCGAGATTGAGGAGTGCGTTGGCCGGGGTTTGAACCCCAGACCATGTGCATGGTCGGCGGGCGTCCTAACCGCTATGCCACCGACGCACAGCAGCAGGAAACAGCATGGTACATTTATTGTGATTCCGATCATGATACCATAGTACTTCCACGTTTTCACGTTCTACTATGTGCTAACTGTGTACTCGATCGAAGACAAACAACGTTGTGTAAGGAGGCATAAGTGAAAGCTTCAGTTTCGAAAGGCGTGAGACGAACGCAATTAGTGCATAACTGCTTGAAATATATATACACATTAAAAACGAAGAGCGATATCCAATAATACGATGGCGAATATTGAACGAGCATAAGTGAAATTAGTTTCTGTAAACGTATAACATGCCTACGTGAACTAGTTTCATAGGCGTACGTTTAGGCTTGCTTGGTGGAAACAGTAGTTGAAGATGAATTTACGATTTCACCCTTTTGACTTTCTCCATATCGTATTAATCGCTTTCAGGGTTTCTACTTCACACAGTCAGTATTCCCTGATACATTGTTGCGTTTGTACTGAGCTCCTGGAGCTTATGCAAGAGTCGTGCTATTTCGAAGTTCGCAGTTATTTGTACAATCAGGAGAGTTTCAGTTCGATATCAATTTGTATATTAAGTATGTCAAACAATGAAAGGGTATTATAACTGACAGGATTACGTTTCGAACACAATGTATTGTCCATTTTCATATCAGTTATAACTACACAACTTAGAAACTTCTTTCTTTTGAAAAAACATGCTACTACAGTGCTCAGTATTTACACATGTATTGAACCATCAGTCCCACTGCAAATGCCGAGGTTAAATGACTTCCAGAACAAGTCCATTGTTCCTCGCAAGTATTTGACTATGTGTGATCTGATATTCATCCGATATTTAAGTCGTCATTCAGGAGAATAGAATTCAAGTCTAATCAACAATTAATAGTGCATGTCTTATGATCGCTTGCATGTCAGTTTGTTGCACACACTTTCAGTTTCGTCAGCATTCAATGTGTGCGTGCGTGCATGTGTGTGTGTGTGTGACCAGTACTTATGATAACCGACAACATTGCTACCAATACGACTATCACCAATTGTAATAATAATAATAATTTCGACACAGGTCAACTTGACAAAATGAATAAACTAGTGTCAATATTTCCTCATCTCACTAGTCGCTTTCATTTCACAACCAATGGAACTCATGAATTTAAAGTATCCCTTAGATGACAACGAAATGGAACTAGGAATTTAATAGATTAAATCGCTGAAACTGAATGAACCTAGTCTCAACTAAGCTGACTACTAGTCTGCCCGCGAGTTCTTGATGAGGAGTCATGCATTTTTTCTGAACATGCGCACGTATGAATAGACTCGTTCTCCACTTCGCACTCATCTGTTGTCTAGGTAACGCCTTCATTCCAAAAGCCTGTAGTTTAGTCAAACCAGCCGAATAAGTCCCAAAATCTTTGACGCAAATATTTCTAACACCTAGTGGCATTCACATATACTGCTCATTGAGTCTTCATGTCTTGTGTTTTACTATCAGTAATTACAGGTAAGGCAGTGTACTGAAACAAAACAGGTGATTAGGCACATTTAATTTGGTATGGCTGATGTACAGCAACATATTAACAACACAACCAGTGCCTTGAACATTGTGCGAAATCCCGTTGTTCACAAACGACTGGCTTCACGAATAATGTTTGTGTGTCTCTTGTCTTGAGTAGTTGTAGAACTAGGATGTCATGCAGATCAGCACCATTTGGTTAAGAAACCTTAAAACCATTGTCGGGTTAGTTGGTTGCCTAAAGTCAATCAAGTGTTTCGAAACAGGCGATCGCCCTGCCTTCCCTTCCGACATACAAAGCCAAAGTGCGATATGCAAATTTAACGCTTCTACAACACAGTTTGCTGTTGCCACTCAGGTTTAATGCGTGATTGATGAACTCAGAATGATGGTACGAGTAACCAAATGTGAACTATATTTTTCCCCATGATTTGTAAGTCTCATTTTACCTGTTGAATTATGAATACTGTTTACTTGTGTTAGACTAAGTTTCCCACTTCACTTGCACTCTGCCGTCTTTTCGAATATAAAGGTTGGAAAATACCACTATTCGGCTACAGTATCACGAGCCATTGGTCAGTGATTTGAAAGAATATTCTTGTAAGAAAGTCATTTTTGAAATCGATGATCGCGTTTCGTCCATTCTGCTATAGCTGACTACGGTCTAACTGTCGCTGTCTTTTGGTTGTTCTTCGATTGCTTTTCGCTCGTTCGTGTATACTATTTAGTCTGGTGTTTTAATTCATATATAATGTCTGAGACACGTTTGAGCGAGGGCTGGACAATCATGCAGCGACACAAGGACTGCGTCCAAATGGCCTATCGCCTTAAAGTCCCATGCACCATTGGGGGTAGACAAGTAAATTCGCCGTTTTACTTCTTTACATTCTCTCCCGTCTCACTCTCCTGAAAACTCCAACCAGTAGACTTATTATTATTGTTACTGAGATTATATATATCAACTTCGAATTCAATAAGCAGTCTGGTTTTACGTTTCCTTATTTCTTTTTCTGTATTTTAGTCAGAATAATCTACACTAATTTTAACGATCATTATTATCTCTTTTCTTATGACGACGATATCGGGGACTAACTGGTGGAAGGATCAACTTTATTCACAGTAGTAACAAAGTCTCAACACATCGCATACAACAAACAACATATAATTAATCCCAGCACTACTCCTTTAGGAGTCAACCAAAGCAACGACAGTCGAGTGGCGGGACGAGCTACGCAGAAGCTTACCGAAAATCAAGAACCTATACCTCACAATCAAGAGAGTAGCACAAAGAAATCGAATTGGTTTATACTAGCTCGTGAAAGCGATATTGGATGTATCGGATATTGGAACCTGTATACTATTTACTAAGGCCATGCTAAAGATTATGTGCCAATCCAAACTTCGTTCCGCTGCCTGCTGATAGGTATGGCCAACCGATGAGAAACGTATGTGTGGGTAGATGTTATGCCCCCAAGTGATTAAACGCTATATAAGGACGAGAAAGACGTCCTGGAAAACTGTGAAATGGTATAAAATGCAATTATGGATAATCCATCATGGAAAGTATATTCTCAATATATATATACAAGAAGGATCTATAGAGTACTTGGAATGATAGTATACATTGCAATGTATAATGCCAATCATACTGATCATACCATGGAGAATATGAGATCTTCGATGAAAATACAGTTATTCTCAAACATTGGTGTCGTTGTTGTTGCTTTCAACAGAGCAATCAGACATTAGGCGAGCGACTTATATGAAAAAGAGTAAGATTTAGGTTTGTAAATGCCTACTTAATTGAGGTAAGATAGAGTATAATAGTAATGAGATGGAATGATTATCGCGAAGTATATAAGAGACATTTCAGAGAGGAGTGGCTTTAAATATTAGAAGCTGTAGGATTCGCTGACCTGTAAGACGTTTGGCGTATTTGTGTGGGGCACGTAGTGAAGCATCTTGACAAGAAGCTAGGCAGGCTTGTAGATGTTAGTAGCAAAAGCATTTTTTTGAAATTCGGATCTGTGCAGTCACTATTGTTTTCCTTACAATAGCATTTTTATATTGAGGATCTAAACTCATTTTTAATTCTCGAGCTATCGAAAATGCATGTTGCTATCCCACACATAGGAGCGATTCACACTTGTGACCAACACTATCATGCACCACCCTCCCTCCTTTTTCATGTTAAGCTCTGAGATGTTTTGCGATAGTGTAGTTGTCACATTGCACTACTTTGAGCCTGTCTCAATCATACAATATGCTGCACATCAATATCTTTCATGAAAATGCTTATTCAGGAACTCTGCAAGATCTTGCATAAACGACTGAAGAGGGGTGAAGACAAAAATATTAGCCACTTGGAATATGAAGGTATAATTTAAGATGATCCGCAGATTATTAGTGAACTTCCTAGCCAGTGGTTCTTTAACGACATCAAAACGCATCCACCGCCAATTCTTGACATAACTTGTGAAAATAACTACAAGTTAGATGAAATCAACTTTGATATACAAAATATAGCATCAGCGGTAAAGACATTAAAAGCTAACGGTAGTTGTGAGAAAGATGATATACCATCTGTCATATACAAAAACGGTGATACGGATATGGGAACAAACTTTTCGCTGTGGAACAGCATGGTTTTAGAGCAGGTCATTCTTGCTTGACCAACCTTCTTTTGGCCAGAGAAAGTTGGGCAAGCTCAGCTGATGCTAATATACCGGTGGATGCCATATTCATCGACCTTAGCAAGGCGTTTGACAGGGTTTCTCATTCAGGTCTTCTAGTAAAGTTAGGTAGTCTGGGAGGCAATAAAGTGGTTGCCAGCTGGATTCAAGACTTTCTAAAGGACAGAAGAAAAACAGTACGAGTTAACGGGGTTTTATCAACATGGGAATCGGTTAAGAGTGGCGTTCCTCAGGGTACAATTCTAGGCCCATTTCTTTTCCTGATTTATGTTAATGAGATTCCATCGATAGTTAGGTCATCCTGCTTACTGTTTGCTGATAACATCAAGATATGGAGGGCTTTACACGATGACAGTGATCAACTTGCTTTGTAGGAAGATTTAAACTTGTTAAGTGATTGGTGTAAGCACTGGGCCTTGCAGATTAACTTAAGCAAGAGTGTAGTTATGCATGTATCTCATAGTCACGT